GAAAGTAGAGTCTTCTAATGATTCTTTCACCTTTGTGGATTTCACCAAGGTGAATTCAAGAGTAGAGCTGTTCCACTGCAGATTCAGAATGCCTTAGTTCCAGTAAACTTCCATGTGATAGATATCAACATAGATTGGAACTCTTCTCTTATACTTGGAAGAGCTTTCATGGCTACAGTGGAAGCTATTTGAGACATGACAACAAATAGTTAAGAATAGATCTACTCTTATTGAATTGGGTAATGATCCAGGTTACATAACTACATGCTTATACGATTATGAGCAAAATGTGAAGTCAGACGATGGAGCATTGACACCCAATCCATATTATCGATCGACAGTCCTTCAGTTCAGCAATCGATCGATACCCACCTTTTAGAATCAATCGACACTCATCATTCAGATTCAGATCAACCTCATTCTTACAACGAGTACGATGAGTATTACCTCGAGATGGAACATATCGAGTACCGAGGCTTTGCTACAGAGCACGATGATTTTTTTCTAGTTTCAGACAAACCTGAGAACACATCATCGATTGACGAAACAATCAGCATCAATCAACGCCAAGTCAGAGCCACATCACCGACCAATTTTTCCAGATGATATGAGATGACAACATGGTGGAGACCGGCAATCGATGGCCATCTTAAACAATCAATTGACGCTAAGCCAACATCAGATTCAAAAGCAACATTTCCTGGTTACCTAAAACCAGATGAGTTTAGTATACCGAGAGACCCAAAAGGATACACATGAGCTGTGGACGGACGAGTTCTACATGTCTCTAAAGAAGATGTAACAGATATTCTTGCAATGGTGAATGGAGCACAAAATCTGTTCAAAAATCCATTCAACTTCTGGGCAGACATGCAAATATCAATAGACGGTAACAACCGTACAACGATCGATGTTAACCATCCAGACGAAAGAGCTGCACACAATGATCCAATATCGATTGAAAGGCTTCTACCTGCACCGATCAACGGGCACAACGAGTTTGGATACCGAGATTTTGATAAGAATGGACGAAGACTATTCTATTGGGAACAAAAATATGAGTATGGCATCTACAGTGGTGAGTATGACAACGCCAGAGATAGAGATGACAAGATCGTCAATTTGTCAAAAGAGGACATCAAAGCAATTCTGGACATAGCTACACGCATGAGTACAGCTTTATTAGCTTACCAGAGCATGCCAGTAGATTCACCAGAGAAGTTCCACCACCAAACACATACAGCAGACCAGACATTGATGAGATGATTACTACTGTCTACATAGCCCATGAGATGTCCTTGGATGATTATTTCAAGAGGCTCGATGACGTCTACTATCCAATAGACATGAGTATTACTTCTTTAACCACACACTTGGATGAGATACAGAATGCGAATTGACACAATTCAGCGACAACAAGTGAAACGAGCAGGTACACGAACATCGATCGACGGTCAGCCTCGACCATTGATCAAGACTGACCACAACAGAGCAAAGCTGGTCACAAAGAAACACTTGCCAGATAAGCTTGATGAGATTGAGTTATCTATCCACTTGATGAAGGAGGACGTTAACAACCGTTTGGGGAGTACATTAGAGACAGTCTATGCAACATTTAGAATTTTTCAGGCTTGTATTAAACGCCTTCAGGCAAGAACAAGTTCATCTGAGACTGCTATAGAGAAGTTGAAGAACTTCATGGCAAAAAGGGACACATATATCAAATGTTTTATTTGTGCATAGACCTTGATGAGAAACTGGATGCCGATGCTTGTTTCCAACAAGCAATGTTCCACCATTTCTATAGTCACACACATCTCCATACGTCGAGCATAAGACTATAACCAAGCGTTGAGTGTGAGGCAGCCAGTGTTTAGTAAGTTTTTATTTGGCTTTTACTTATGATAGTTTTTAATTTTGGTTTTAATTTATTTTATGAAGGTTGTTATGAGGAGAAGTTCACTGTTAGACAGACCTATCGATCGATTACACTAGCTCACCATCGGTCGATGGCTTGGATGGTTTACCATCAGTCGACGCTCACACACCATCATCGGATCGACACTCTTACAGAGTTTGGTATTTTTGAACTTCCCTACAATTCTTTTACTTTTGATTTATTTTATCCTAACCAAACCAGGACGGGAAAACACTGGGGACATTGTTATTTAAGTCTGGGGAAGGTTCGTTGATTTTTTTTTATTGATTTTGGTTTTCTACTATATCTATTTATTATATCTGCTACGAGATTTTTCATTATTTTCATATAGTCAAGAAGTGGATTATGATTAAACTTTATTATTGACTAACCACACTATTAGCACCATTCTTAGGACTGTTAACTGCAGAGATTACTAGAGATACCAAAGTGGATCATCATGCCATTAGACTAGACTTGCTTAGAATGTTTGAAGGAACTGAAGCTGACTTCCAACTTATTTTTGACTTATTTGCTTGCTTTGGATCTTGGTATACATTGGATCGGACTCCTTCTGCAAGTCTGGAAGGTAAAGTTTATGCTTCTGATTCCCTTCTCTCTCTCTCTCTCTCTCTCTCTCTCTCTCTCTCTCTCTCTCTCTCTCTCTCTCTCTTCGGCACCTACTAATAAAAGATTGCGATGATTTCCTGAGATGAAAAGGGGTAGGTACATTATCTATGATCCTACTATTCTAATTCAAAGGATTGATCACACACTGTGAAAGTGAGGGGTAGCTATATTAACGATGACCCACTATTCGCCTACATTGTCAAAAAAAAAAATCGAAAGGAATATGGCAAGATAGTCTGTAACAGCATCATTATCCATAGAGTTTAAGATAAAAAAATATTCAGAAAAAGGGAAAAATGGAGAAAAAAAAAGATCATAGAAGACACAATATGTGTTCAGATACTTACGGAGATAAGAATCCACATATTCTTTGATTGATACTCCCAAAGTAAAGCTCACACTTTTATTTTTATGCAAGAAATGAGGTCACTAAAGGGGTAAGCCAAGCTAGTATTTGCTAAGTTGTGTGTAGAATGAATTTGGTTGCTAAGCTAAGATAAGGTATATAAAGTTTCTTTGAAATTGGCATAGTAGGATGTGGTTGCAGCGTAGTAGGGTGATGGTATTATTATAGACTTTATGTGAGTACCCGCTTTTCAAGCAAATGTTAAGTCTGGAGAAGTTGATATACCTTATTATTTATCAGTTTTATGTCATGTTATGGATTCCATTGGAGTCTATTTTACCTGTATAGGCTATGTTTTTGAGTATTTACAGCTACATGGTCGTTTTGAATTTATGTGGAGTACATGGTGCATTTTGGATGAAGAAACCTGTATCTGACAAAAATCATCTAAGTCAGAATCGACATAAGAGATCGACATCGATCGATAGGGCCAACCTAGTGTCGATCGATGATCACCGCGCATAAACCAGACTTTGTTTGAGACCGACTTAAAGCCCCAAATCTACACACAATTAAAAAGTTACCTCTGACAAGTTTTTATCTAGTTTATATTGGTTTCTGCCACCATTAAACAGGAGACCAGTCACTGCCACACTTTTGTTTTCATAGTTTCTTATTTTGTTTTGAGGAGAAGATCAAAACTTCTTTTATATCTTTCTATTGGAACCCCAATTATTAGCTTAGGGTTTTGTATTGGAACCTAAGTTATTAGCTTAAATAATAAGTCGATGATCAAGGATCTTTTTCTTTGATTTAAATATACTACATATTTATCCATTAACGTTGAATCTAATTTATACATATGTTAGATGAGTTTTATTTATTACTCAAGTGGCTTAACAATTACGTACTTCATATTGATGAGTAACTAGGAGTCTTCACGCGCTATGCGCGCACAAAGATAATAATTTTAAATATAATATTATTTTAAAAAATTTGTTTACATTGGAAAATTATTTTTTTCTATTTTAATTTTATTAGTTTTGAAATAATAAATCACAAATGTATTTTTGTCGGGTAAAGTTAAGTTACATTCTATAAAAATTAAATTTTTATTTATATTAAATAAGTTATATTTAATTATTATTTATTTCAAATATTTTTATTATCATGTAGTTGTAAACATGTATATATTTAGATATATAAATTCTAATAACATAATACTCATGTGCCATGCACATAAATAATAATTTTAAATATAATTTTTTATTTAAATATAGCTTACCTTTGGACATTATTAGCTTTATATTAATTTCATCAGTTTAAATTAATAGTTTTATATCATTTTCATTTTTACTTATTTTCTACTTTTACTTTTAAATTTTCCAAAATATATGTTATTATTTATTAATTATTAATGTATTTTAATAGTTTTGTCAAACTATTATACAAAAATTACATTAATGGTGATATATAATTTAATAGTCATTACAATATTAGAAAAACCATGTCAAAAATATATTTTTTGTAGAGAAAATTGTACATGTCACAATTTAACTAATGTCATGTGTATCATTTACAAGAATGATGTCATTTTTTTCTTTCAAAACCAATGAATTGATAACACTTGTCACAATCACTTCACAAATAATGTTCACAAATAATGTCTAAAATTTAAGTACGTTCCTTTGTTCTAACTTTGCCATATTGTTTATAATTAATAATTTTATTTAAATTTATGAGTAATATTTTTCTCTACTGCCCAAACAAAGTAGGACTTTTTTCTAAAACAAATAGAAAACAATTCTCTCAAAACTAAAAGTACAACATGATTGGTTAGGATTAGTGATTTAAAAATAAAGAATAAAGCTACGTACTAACAAATCTATTTTTTTCTTCTAAATCCAATAAAATGCCACAACCAATAACCCTCACTAAACTAACTCCCAACCAATCATTACCATTGCATGGTTTTGTTTGAACCAGCTGAATTAATAAATTTATTTTGTTTTGTGAACAAATATGTCTTCAACTCTAAAACAATACAAACAGTAGAAATCAGAATACGAATAACTAAAGGTTAAAAACTTCATACACTAATTGCAAAATATTAGTAACAACGGAAACACCAGAATATTATAAATTCCAATGAAACAGAACTCATTTTCCCCATCTGGCATGAACCAATCAAACCAGGTAAACCAGTAAAAGCAGAACACTAAACATACTCTGGCGAGGCTGAATCAAAAATCAACCTAAGTTGTTGCTTAACTTCATCTTCTGCAAACGTTGCGTCTATGGCGGATTTAGCCAATGAAAATGTTTCTCTTTTACCTAGACCTTCAAAGAAAATTAAACCAAAAAGAAATACACTTAGATTCATCAAACAGCAGTCTCAAGAATCAGATAAGAACTCACCAAAGGAACTAACGGCGAGAGAGTACTCGTTGGAGAGGCTAGTGGAGAACACTCCAAAATCATCAGTGCATATAATCAACGGATGCTTTGCCTTGTAGAGATCATCTGTTACATCAAAGATTTAAGTTCATGTCACTTCAGTGCATCAATAAAATGAAACAAAGAAGAGGAGATAGATAAAAAACCTAACCAAAGTGGTGTATATCTATTGAAGATATTGATTTGGTTATAATGTTGGATGATAGACATATCTCAACCTGCACAACAAAAAAACATCAGTATGTAACATTATTAGAAGATTATACAACTCTAAATACAAATCTATTACCGGAATCTGAAAAGATTTCAACTTCTCCCAGTCTTGACCTTTGAAGAAACATGCATGACCAACTCTATGCGGTTTGAAATCAAGCATTGCTTGGATCTCTTTCGGATTATGAACCTACAAGGCACTAAGATGAAGAAAGTAGTAGAGAATCATTACAAAAGAAAAACATTTGAAGACCAGGTAGTACCTCTCCACAGTGAAGAGTGATGTAAAGATCATTGTCTTTAGCGAATTGTAACGCAGGCAAGAAAGTGCTCCTACAAGAACATGAGAGATGTTAGATTGAAACAAAAGAAGAAGAGAGTTTTAGAAACAACTAACCATTCTCCAACAAGAGGGTTCCCAGAGAGATCAATACCAACAACGCCGACATTTCTCATCTCCAAAGCGAGCTTAACCTGGAAAGAGAAAGAGAATGTTTTGTTTTGTACTTTTGAAAAGGTTTTTTCAGAGTAGTTTTTACAACACTTACAGTCTCCATTGCAGACTCTGTTGTTTCTCTACGGTCAATACTAAGAAGAAGTCTAACATAAATCTTCTTTCTTCCAACTCCATCACACGAGTTATGTAGTTTTTGAGAGTTACAAAACTCAACATCGACTTCAGTGACAGCTCTCAGACCTTTGATTACTGCTTCCATGTAAGAACGTTTACTCATACCTATCGAATCATTCCTCTACGAACAAAAGGTCTCATTATTTTCAATCTAGAAACATCTAACTTAGGAGAGCATTGCAAGAAATGCAAAAGATTGTGTTACCTTTGGAGTTGTTCTTAACTCGAGATAAACCACATTCTCTAAAGCAAAGTCTTCTATAACCTTGTCAAAAGAGAAGATGAGACAATTCCTTAGTCTAAAACCAAAAGCCAATACTAAAGTAATGAGATTGACGTTAGTGTTTTTTTTACTTCTCTAGTGATTCTTGTCACTGTTTGGTGATCAGTTGTGATCATATGGATCAAATCAAACAACTTAAATACCTCAGCCAAAGACCGATCATCTGAAAACATGAAACAAAAAACGAGAAATCTTATATTATTTATTATCAGACAAAACATGAGAGCCTAAGAGAGACAAAACTCAGCACTAGGTTCTGAAATTGACTTACTTTTCTGAATGACATCTTCAACATCAGAGAATACTAAAATCCCTTTCTCACCAAGAACCCTAGCAAGCTCTCTGTCCAAATTAAACGAAAACCCGTCAAACTTAAACCCTCAAAATCGAATCTTTTTAAAAGCAAAATCCTCGTAATTGATCAATGCAATTCCCAGATACGAAGAACAGAGCAGAGCAGAGCAGATACCAGAAAATTGACATCAGGGGACTTACAGAAGAGTAGAATCTCTGATGGAGCCATTGAGGTGAGCATGCAGCTCGATTTTGGGCATTGGATGTATCCATTCCATTTTTTTTTTTTTTTGTTTAGAGAAGAGAAGAGTGAGACAGTACTGCAGATAAGGAAGCAAATACAGACACGCAAGTTATTGTTTCCCTCGTAGAGTAGCCAAAATTAACCTAACCAACCTTCCGAACCAAACCGGTCTTAAATATTTGGTTTACGGTTCGGTTTTATATTCTAAGCAGATCAGCAGATTTATAAAGATTCAGATATTGGTTCAATTGCACAACCAAAAGATTATAAGACGACTTAATTTTAAGAATTTTAATGTACAACAACGCAACATACAACAAGCATCCTAAACATCAGCCTAATCAAGTTCGAATACAAACATACAATACAAACATCAGCCTTCATAAGTACCAATCTCGTCAAAATTATCCTTGTTTTCATACAAATGCGGGAGAGTGAGCTCATTNGTCGTTCTTAGCAAAATCTTTTGGATTAAATGACAGCCCAAGAGCATGACATTCAATGTATTTTAGAGCGTAGACGCCACAATCACCACTTCGGGCCTGAGGCACATTGCTTGCACGTTCAAATGTGAATGGCTCCAGAGAGTATACCTCATCAGCGCTAGAGCACTCAACAAGCAGATAAGGAACCATGTGCAGAAAAAGCTCTATTACCAGTTCGAGTCTTGCGTCGGAGATACAAGTTACGATGCTGTCCCAGATGACTATGTGTCTCTTAGGGATCGATATCCACATAGCAATTCAATGCTCGTCCTTGTAGTTCACTGGCGCATAGATATCATCAATATCCACCCCCCACAACTTCAATGACTTGCAAAATGATGGTACAGTGCCGTCATAATAGTTATACGCTCCACCAGGGAGTCTTCTTCCCAAACCGTTGGGAGCAGGAGAAGATTCCTTAAAGACTTTGTAGCAGGCACTCCATTGCTGAGCAAAGAGATGATCAAGGAAGCAAAGCCTCTCGCTCCTGAATGCTTGTGGATGTTCAGCGTACCTCTTCCTCAGCACATTAATCCATGCATCAATGTTCTGCATTTAAAATAAAACAAGTCAGAAGATATCAGACGACTTAATGGTAAGTCGTGTTGTAAGTATTCTACGTAGACGACTTAACAGACGACTTACCATTAAGTCGTCTGTTAAGTATTCTTTGTGAACGACTTACAGACGACTTATCAGGCGACTTATTGGCAAGTCGTCTACAAAGAAGACTTACCAAACGACTTAACGGTAAGTCGTTTGATAAGTCGTCTACGTAGAATACTTAGAAGACGACTTAACGGTAAGTCGTCTACGTGGAATTATAGTCAGAAGATACACTTACACAGTCATGCAGCCAAGATAAGGAGGCTCGGAGGATGTAATACCACTTAGTTGGCGCTGTACGTGGTTTATCGTCGAAAGGTGTGTCATACCAGCTGCAAACACAAAATGTTCAGTCAGAAATCAGTTTTGTAGACTAAAAAGCAAGCTATTATGGATCACTTACGGATCAGTTTTCAACCAATCA